CGGACAAGGGAGTCACGGAGAGAGTTGTCCCTCCGGAAAGCAGATAAGGGTGGGGAGAGAAAGATGTCTTTGGTGGTGGGGTCGGATTGCAGATGGCAGAAGTGTCGGAGGATGATGCGTTGGATCCGGAGGTTGGTGGGGTGGTACGTGAGGACGAGGGGGATTCTTTTTTGGTTCTTATTGCGTGGACGGGGTGTGAGGAGATGTGGGAGACACGGTTGAGGGCGTTCTCGACCACCGAGGAGGGGAAGTTACGGTCCTTGAAAAACGAGGACAACTGAGATGTACGGGAGTGGAATGCCTCATCCTGGGAGCAGATGCGGCGGAGGCGAAGGAATTGGGAATGGGGGTAGCATTTTTGCAGGAAGGTGGGTGGGAGGAGGAGTATTCTAGGTAGCTGTGGGAGTCGGTGGGCTTGAAATGAATATCGGTTTCTAGGTGGTTGCCCGATATGGAGACAGAGAGGTCCAGGAAGGGGAGAGAGGTGTTAGAGATGGTCCAGGTAAACTTAAGGTTGGGGTGGAAGGTGTTAGTGAAGTGTATGAACTGTTCGAGCTCCTCGTGGGAGCACGAGGCGGCACCGATACAGTCATCAATGTAACGGAGGAAGAAGTGGGGTTTAGGGCCAGTGTAGGTACGGAAGAGGGATTGTTCCACGTAACCTACAAAGAGGCAGGCGTAGCTTGGGCCCATGCGGGTACCGATGGCTACCCCCTTTGTCTGTAGGAAGTGGGAGGAATTGAAAGAGAAGTTGTTGAGTGTGAGGACGAGTTCGGCTAAGTGGATGAGGGTATCAGTGGAGGGGGATTGGTCGGGCCTGCGGGACAGGAAGAAGCAGAGGGCCTTAAGGCCATCTGCATGGGGAATGCAGGTGTAGAGGGACTGGACGTCCATGGTAAAGATGAGGTGTTGGGGACCGGGGAATTGGAAGTTCTGGAGGAGGTGGAGGGCTTGGGTGGTGTCACGGACATAGGTAGGGAGTTCCCCCCTACATTGATGTGGTTTCAAAGGAATGTGTGGCTTTGATAGCTTGCAATTACTTCAGGGCACAGCACAGAGAGAAAGATCCTGAGTAAATTGGGCCTATGCTCTCTAGGAGTTCAGAGGAACTTTAATCCTCAACGAGGGTTGTGAAGAAGCATGACAGGATGACAGTGAGAAACTGTTACCGCCTGGCTAGGGAGATCTAAAACACAGAGACACAGTCTTAAGATAGATTGTCAATCCATTCAGACTCAGCCAAGGGAATAAATCTTCACTCAAGGTATTGTAAATGTTTGGAACTCTCCACCCAGAGAATTATGGAGGCTCCATCATCTGATAGATTTAAGGCTGGTACAGACAGTTTTGGCAAATTGAGAGAAATGGGGAGTGGAGTGAAGGTCAAGATCAGCCAGGATCAATCTGAGACATGGAGCATGTTCAATGGTTTCAATAATGCTGTTGCTGTTTGTTTAATTGATAAGGACCACATTTGCACACTGTGTCACTTCTATCTTCACGTAATAAAAACAATCAATAAAGGTCAAACATTGCAAATCCTGGAAATCTACGACAAACATGGCGAATGCTGGAGAAACTCAGCAGGTCTGGCAGCATCTGTGGAGAGAGAAACAGAGTTAAGTCTTTGAATTCAGTGACCCTCTTTCAAAACTCTGTATTTATGACTGTGATTTGGAATGATTACGAAGAAGAGTCATACTGGACTCAAAACGTTAACTCCACTTCTCTCTCCACAGATACTACCAGACCTTTTGTTTTATTCATTCATGGGATGATTGCATCACTGGATAGGTCATCCCTAACTGCCCAGATGGCAATACATTACTATGGACCTGGAGTCACATGTAGGCCAGATCAGGCAAGGATGGCAGTTTCCTTCTTTAAAGGTCATTAAGGATATTCCAACAATTGACAGTGTTTTCCTGATCATCATTAGATTCTTAATTCCAGATTTTTATTGAATTCAAATTCTGCCAAGGCAGGATGTGAACCTGGATAACCTGGATCTCTGGATTAAATAGTCAAGCAATAATACCATTAGACCATCCCCTCACCTTGCTGAGTTTATTTCACGTTTTTTCTGACGTTGCTGATGCTTCTTTTGCCAATCACCTTAGATTGTTGTCCCCTGGTTCTCAATCCTACCAATGCAAACAGTTTTGCCCTCGCTACTCTGTCCAGGTGCCTCATGATTTTAAAGAGCTCAATCAATTCTCTCAACCTTCTCTTAGAAAAACAGTCCCAGCTTCCCCAATCTATTCATGTGTCGGAAGTTCCTCATCCCGGGAATCATTCTTACCAGTCTCCTTCTCAAAAAAACATCTGATATGTCTAGTTCTAGTATGTTATTTAGCATATGCTAATCTCCATTATTGCACAGTAAATAGCTAATTACGGTGAAGTTTTCTCAAACACAGCAACCACCAAGTTGGATGCGCTGAATTTTTTACCTTCAGTTAAAATTTTACAAGCAGTAAAATGAATGAATGGATCAGACCTATATACTCTCATTTGAAGCTGAAATATTATAAACAAACTTTCAAATGTTATTTGAAGAAGCTAGGCTTTTTCCATCTTAAAGAAGTCTGATATGTGACAATCGTAAGATTAGCTTTTCAGGGCTGGTGACACTGTGCTACAGGAATTGTGAACTTGGTACCCAGTTAAAACTCACAAGAAAGAATTTATTTTGCATAGGGGTTTGTGGGAAGAATAATGGCATAAAAGCAGAACTTTTCATCATTTCAGTGATTTCTAACCGACTGCAGACTGAAAGACTCGGAGCAGTGCCTCTGCCTGAAGAAACCATGAAAATACAGGCAGTATCTTCTGGATTTGTGTTTAATTGCACCAGTGTAGATGCCAAAATTCACTGTCAGTTTCAGACGAGTTTTGACAATGTCAGCTGTCAGTTTCCCAATCATTACTACTACAAAACCAGGCCAAAGTTTCTGAACTGTTGTACAAGCTAAAAGGAAACATTTGTGAGAGGGAAGATCTCTTGTTGTAAAGAAGAACACCATTCATTATTTAATATAATGCACCAAAATTGTTGATGATCTCTCCTAATTGGAAGAATAATGCAAATGTGGACAATTTTATTAAGGCACAAGTGACCTGTCAGCTGGTCATGGAAATGAATCCGGCTCATTTCTGAGGGGCTTCGGAGAATTAGTTTGTGATGAGATCTGTCCTGATTGTGATTAGTATTGTGTTCAATGCTTGGTATTGAACCTAAGCAATCCATAATGTTCTTAATTTCACGATGAGGTTCACCATGACTAATCCGTGTATAATTTCGGATGTCTCGTTCATTTGGATTGAATGCAAATTTTGATTAATCAGTATAGATTAAAAGAGAACCCAGAGGGAAAATCCAGTTTCAAAAAAGCTTCAAAACAATGTACTGACAGTATCACTCCTCTATTTTGAAGTATACAATTCAAGATAAATTGGACCAGTATGTCTCATATACCAGTTTTACTGTGATTTTTCCCTCTGGAAAGCCAGTTACTTAAAGATCCATTAGCTGTGCTGTTCCCTGTTATACCTGGGTTTGTTTGAGTCTGTAATGCAAAAATCCCCTAAGTCCAGAATACATCCAACAAATGTAACTGACTTTGCTATGCTAAACTAAACAGGGGCAAAGAACAAAAACAAAGTTGCTAGAAAAGCTCACCAGGTCTTGCAGCAACTGTGAAGGAGAAAACAGAGTTAACGTTTCGGGTTCTGAGTTCTGAGGAAGGGTCACCAGACCCAAACCATTAACTCTGTTTTCTCCTTCACAGATGCTGCCAGACCTGCTGAGCTTTTCCAGCAACTTTGTTTTTGTTCCTGATTTCCAGCATCCGCAGTTCTTTTGGTATTTTTTTTAACAGGGGCAAGGTACTGTTCCATACTGAATGCCTCCTCTACACTTCAGAAATGTTTCTGTAATATCAAAGCTGGAGCCTTCTATACTTTGAAAGGTTTTGAATGATTGGATCTGTTCTGGATCACAATGATACTTGCTGCATTGGTGCATTCACCCACCGACAGAATTTTCAACAAGACGGCTGAGGTTTCCCAGTCCAATTGGAGCAGTGGGTGGGTACAGAAGGCAAGGGTTTGACCCATCAGGCTGACCAACAGTTCTGAAATGGGATAAAGGACATTTCAACTGAGGTACAGAGGGTGTGTGCATGTGTTTGTGTGCACGTGAGTGTACACGTGTGTGTGGGTGTGTGTGTGTGTGTGTGTGTGTGTGTGTGCGCGCGCACATGTGTGTGTACGTGTGCGCGTGCGCACATGTGTGTGTACGTGTGCGCGCGCATGTGTGTGCGCACATGTGTGCGCGCGTGTGCATGTGTGTGTGAGTGTGCATATGTGTGTGTGTGCATGTGGGTGTGTGTGCGTATGTGTGTGTGCATGTGTGTGCATGTGTGTGTGTGCGTGCATGTGTGTGTGTGCATGTGTATGTGTGTGTATGCTTGCGTGTGTGTGTGTATGTGTGTGTGCATGCATGTGTGTGTGTGTATGTGTGTGTGCATGTGTGTGCGTGCATGTGTGTATGTGTGTGTGCGCGTGCGCGCGCGCATGTGCACCCTGGTGACTATCTGATTTACTCCACAATCCTGCCTACCTCTGACAACCTCATGGGGTCATGGGTTCAAATCTTGCCAAGGGCAGCCATTGGAATTTAATTTCACAGCTGGTCTCTGTAATAGTGACCATGAAACTATCATTGATTGTCATAAAAATCCATCTGATTCATCAAAGCTCCTTTAGAAATCTGCTGTCCTTACATGGTCTTGTTTATATGTGACTCCAGACCCATGGCAAGGTGGTTGACCCTTTGCTGCCCTCTGACATGGCATTGACAAGCTCCTCAGTTCAAGGGCAGTTAAGAAATGGACAATAAATGTTGCCAATGGTGCTCACACACTATAATCCCTAAATATGCAGAATAATTGGGCAGCCATTGCTCGGTCAATTGGCAAACTTACTGGAGTAACAGCCATTCAAAAGAGATGGCTTCTCAACCAGGGGATCACCTCACACAGCATCTCAGTGATGTACTTTTTTCCAGCAGATCCTGATGCGATGGAAAGTCTCTGATATGGGAAGATAGCAGCCTTGCCACTTCTTTTATTTGCAAGTTCAAACTGATCTCATCCCTGCACTCCCACCGTAGAGAGCCCTCCTCTGAGTTTCTGGGAGTACTGACAGTGCAGGGGGCTGTGTGACCCTTCAGAAGATGCCATTGCTGTGGTACAGAGTAGATTGGACAAAGCCATTCTTGCTGGCAGCAAGATTGCAAACAGGAGAGCAAAGGGGAAGCGATAACCCAGTGGTATTATCATTAAACTATTAATCCAAAGACCCAGGTAATGTTCTGGGGACCCGGGTACAAATCCCGCCAGGGCAGATGGTGGAATTTGAATTCACTATAAAATCTGGAATTAAGAGTCTAATGATGACCATGAAACAACTATCAATTGTTGGAAAAACCCACCTGATTGACTAATGTCCTTTAGGGGAGGAAACTGCCATCCTTACCTGGTCTGGCCTACATGTGAACACAGACCCACAGCATTGTGTTTGACACTTGACTGCCCTCTGAGCAAATAAATGCTGGCCTAACCAGCGAGGCCCACATCCTGAAATGAATTAACAGTAATATTTGAAATAATTGCCCACAGAAGCCATGAAGACTGACAAGGAACGATAAAGAATGGGGAGCTCAGATCTAGAGTGTGCTGTGTTCAGTGATGCTGGTGGTCGGTTTAGCTCAGTTGGTTGGATGGTTGGTTTGTGAAACCAACAGCGTGGTTTCCATTCCCGCACCAACTGAGGTTTCCATGAAGGACTGTCCTTCTCAACCTTGTCCCTCACTTGAGGTGTGGTGACCCTCAGGTCTCTCACCAATGAGAGAACAGAGTTGGAAGTTGTACGATACCAGGTTATAGTCCATCAGGTTTATTTGAAATTACAAGCTTTCATCAGGCGGCACGGTGTCTCAGTGGTTAGCACTGCAGCCTCACAGCGCCAGGGACCCAGGTTCGATTCCAGCCTCGGGTGACTATCTGTGTGGAGTTTGCACATTCTCCCCGTGTCTGCGTGGGTTTCCTCCGGGTGCTCCGGTTTCCTCCCACAGTCCAAAGATGCACAGGCTAGGTGGATAGGCCATGCTAAATTGCCCGTAGTGTTCAGGGGTGAGTGGGTTATAGGGGGATGGGTCTAGGTGGGATGCTGCAAGGGTCGGTGTGGACTTGTTGGGCTGAAGGGCCTGTTTCCACACTGTAGGGATTCTATAATCAATTCTATAAAAGGTGCAGTGAGACAGAAGAGCACATGGACGCAGAGTTTATAGGCAGAGAGCTCAAAAGATCATACAACTGGTGTGAGTGGATAATAAGTCTCTGCAGGTGACCAAAATGGTGAGTAAAGTGTCAACAGCTGAATAACCAGCAAAGGGATGACCTATAATCCAATTAAATGAGGCAGAGAGATAATATTAAAAATATGGTGATGCTGGAGACAAACTAAATGTCTGAAATAACATGGTAGGTATATGAGTCACATGCTGAAGGTCGAACCAAAGTAATAAGTAATTCAAAACTATACAAACTAATTAAGGTTGAGAGATCATCACCTAATGCCTGGTGAGACTATGGCAACTTGAGTTAAATTCCGCGATGGAGGCATTCAAGACGGAGTGGGATTGTTACCCGAAAGGAAGAATGTGCTGGGTCACGGGGACTAGGTGGGAGAAGGGCACTAGGTAAATGGCTCATTTGGTGACCCTGCATAGACACGAAGGGCCAAGTGGCGTCATCCTGCCATGTAAGCATTCAGTTGTTCTGTTGAAATAGGCACCAATCGATTCTCTAAACACCATAAGCCTTCCTCTTGCTGCAGGAGGGATTGTTGGTATGGCTGCAAACTGAGCTCCGGGTTAAAAACAGGAGGCAGCTAACATTGAACTAACGTGATTGGAAAAAGGCCTCAGACCAGGCAGCCCCTTTCAGATCCTAAACAGGACAGGGCAAATAACCTGCTTCTTTTCTTTGCAGGCATCCCCTGCTGCTCTCGCAAAGAGTGTCCTTGCTGAGGTCCCGAATCAAGTGGTGGACTATTACAACGGAAAAGGAATTCCGCCAAAATGTCTGTCGGACTATGAGTCTTCCCGAACGCTTGCACCATAATATTTTAATGACTTTTCGCCTAGTACAAACGATGATGCATAGCACGTCTAAGTGACTTTTAAAATGAATGAGAGAAAATATTTTGCATGTGTAGCCACATGGCCTGCATTCTCCTAAAGCTGTTGTACTGTTGACAAATTTTTACAAGATGGACTACTTTGCATATCAGCATGTCGCCTTGAAATGTATCAGTGTCTGTTTTTTTATACAGGTTTATTGGGATTTTACTAAATTTCTTAATATTCTTACACTGTAAAGCATTTTGGAACATTTATTGAAAGTTGATAGTGAGCAGCAATGGCTCCATCTGTTACTAATGATGGATTTTTCAGATGCATGCACTGTATTTTGCATGTCTATAATAAAATGACACTTTTTTTCCAATTTTTTGTCCCCTTCTCTGTGGTGAATAATAGAGTTTGTAGGCTAACTTCATGTTCTGGAGCATTCCTATTCAAAGATGATGAAAAATAATGTGGGGAAATTTGAAGATATGCATTCTGGCAGGAAGAATAGAGGAGCTGAAGATTATTTAAATGGAGAAAGACTGCAGAAAGCTTCAACACAGAGGGATTTGGATATCCTCATGCATTGGACACAAAATGCTAGCACTAAGTTTAGCAAGTAATGGAGAAGGCAAATTGAATGTTGGTCACAAAGAAGTATAAAAGTAGGGAAGTCTTGCTAAAAACAAAAAAACGCTGGTGATCACAAGCTAATGGAGAGAAAAAAGCTAATATCTCGAGTCTCAATGACTCTTCATCAGAGTCTTGCTAAAACTATACAAGATACTAGTTACACCAAGCCTCGAAAAGTGTGACCAGTTTGGTCCCATTATCTAAGGAAAGATATAACTGGCATTAAAGGCAGATCAGAGAAATTTCATTAGTTTGAACCCAGGCATGGAAAGATTTCTGTATGAGAAGAAGTTTAGTAGATTGGGTCTGGATTCATTACAGTTTAGAAGAATGACATGTGACCTTACTGAAAAATACACACTCTTAGGGGGACTTGACAGGATAGATGTGGAAAGGTTGTTTCCCCTTGTGGGAGAGTCCAGGAGCAAACGGCATCATCTCAGAAGAAGTCACACATTTAAGACAAAGATGAGAAGGAATTTCTTCTCTCAGAGGGTAGTGAATCTGTGGAATTCTTTACCACCAAGCGCTGTCAAGGCTGGGTGATTAGTGTATTCAAGGCTATGATAGACAGATTTTTAATTAGTAAGGGCATCGATGGTTATAGGCAAAAGACAGAAGAATAGATTTGAGGATTATCAGAACAGCCATGATCTGACTGAATGGTGGAAATAGAAAAAGAATTTGGCCATTCAGCCCCTCCAACCTGCCCTGTTATTCAGAAAGATCATCTGCTCAAGTCCTCAACTACCATTTCATGCCAACTGAGCTTAGATAGCCCTACCAAGCCCCTCCCTTCAATATTGCAAAAATATATCGAACTCCTCTTTAAATTCCTTCAGTGAAATATACCAGCTAGCAAAAATAACATAGTTAAATGATACTAAAAGCACCAAATGCTGGGGAATCACAGTGGGTCAGACAGCATCCGTGGAGAGAGAACAAGCTGTCATTTCAAGTATAGAAGACTCTTCATCTAGACTCTAAACGTTAGCTTGCTCTCTCTCCATGGATGCTGTCTGACGCACTGTGATCCCCAGCATTTGGTGTTTTTGTTGCAGATTCCAGCATCTGCAGTAATTTGTTCCTATGTAATTAAATGATAAATTATCATCAGTCCTGTGCGAGTGCAATATAAGGTAATTTACAAAGGAATATTGAGCAGTGATGGGAACAAGTAGAAATTGGTGAATCTTGATAAATTTTCCACAAAATGCTGGGGATGCCAGTGAAATCTCAAGTTTTAGCAGAAACTTGAAATATTTACTGCTTTCCATATTACAGTATAAAATTCCATTGCTTTTCCATTGTTTTCTTGAATTGTATTACTGACAAAACCATATATCTGAGACTTGTTATTAAACTAAAGGATTATTACTGTTGACACCTAATGATTAAGAACTCACTATTTAATGGCCCACAACAATGAAATGGAATGTTATTTACCTAAATTTACAAGGTACAAAGCCTGTCTGTTTGACACAAGTTTTAATTAACTTGTGTTTATTTGCATTCATCCTATCCCATATTATCCAATCTCTTGCTATCTTTAATCCTCTTGAGATAAGAGTTATAGAATTCAGAATACTTAATCCTAGAATTCAGTTTTTGTTCTGTATTCTGGGGCATTTAGCTGAAAGGAAACTAAGTTACATTTACATTTTATCAAAAATTTTTATCTTGCACTCATGAGGACAAAATTGCAAGTTAAGGAGAAGACCAACAGTTATATCGTATGAAAGGAGAATATTAATTAGTTAGCAAGCAGGCTCTGACTTACAGATTGTATGGCCTTAATCATAGAATTCCTACAGTGTGGAAACAGGCCCTTTGGCCCAACAAGTCCACACTAACCCTCAGAGCATGTCACCCAGGCCCACCCCCTATAACTCACCTAATCTACACATCCCTGAACACTATGGGCAATTTAGCATGACCAATCCACCTAGCCTGCACATCTTTGGAGAAAACTGGAGCACCCAGAGGAAACCCACACAGATACAGGGCAAATGTGCAAACTCCATACAGACAGTCACCCGAGACTGGAATCGAACCTGGGTCCCTGGTGCTGTGAGGTAGTAGTGCTAACCACTGAGCCACTATGCCATTCATGAGGAATGCACTTGTTAATGATGATTGCTATACAACAATTGGAGCTATATATCTTTATCCACAGGGCCCTGTCCTTTATAGACAGACAGAAAATGTGCATGAACTGACCCTGCTTCAACTCAACAAAATGGTTGCAAGTCATTTGCTGATTAATTTCTCAAGGCAATGACTCAACTAATCAGAATCAACATGCCTAGTTAAAATGTAAACAAATCCTGGTCATTAACTTTCAATCATCATCAGCTAGTGCATTCTTGAAGACATGGCAACACCTCTACCAACCAGATTCCTTGTGCCAAACAACCAGCACTGTTTTTTCATACTGTGTAAATGTTGTTCCCTCTCCCCGACTTGAATTGACATTCTTGTGAATTGTCCTGATATGAAGAGACAAAAAAGCTTTTTCTGAAGAAGGGTCTAGACCCGAAATGTCAGCTTTCCTGCTCCTCTGATGCTGCTTGGCCTGCTGTGTTCATCCAGCTCTACACTTTGTTATCTCTTTTCTACAAAACTGCATTTTTTTTTTCAAATGTATTAATGTATTTTTTGGAATGTGTATCTTTTTTGTTTCCAATTTTATGTTTGCAATTATGCATTAACAAAGATATACAGGCACGCCAGAGAGTGTGCAGAGAAGATTTATAGGATTAACACCAGAAATGTGAGGGTCTAAAATCAGGAATGAATTGACAGACTCTCATGAGAAAAGTGACCTAATGAAGATCTTTAAAATGATAAATGGTTTTGATTGAGGGGACACAGAGATAATGGCTCCTCTTGTGTTTAAGAGTATAACTAGAGGTCTTTGTTTAAATGATCAGGAAGAAATCCAATGGGGAATTCAGAAGAAACCTCTCTGGTCAAGCAGCGGTGAGAATGCGGAACTGGCGACTACAGGGAGTGGTTGAAATGAATAGTCTTGGATATATTTTATGGGAAACCACACGAGTACATGAAAGAGAAGGGAATAAAGGAGACAATGGGGGATGTAAATGAGAAAAGATGAGAGGAGGCATGAGATGGTTGGGCCAAATGTCCTGTTTCTGGGCCAGATAACCTGTGTAATCTAGTGTAAACATTTCTGCATTTCAGAAACTTTCCTTTCAAAACAATCAATTAAGTATAAGTGGTTTCTACTGAGCTTGAAAACAAATGCCAGAAGATCTGATCAAGCAGAGAAACCTGGTTGATTCCGAATGATTAGCACATTTAAATGATAGAGTCATATAATGCAGCAGGGAAGGGAAGGTAGGATAGGTGCAAGGCTAGGGGAGTCCAGAACTAGAGGGCATAGGTTTAAGGTGAGAGGGACAGATTTAAAAGAGACCTGAGGAGTAACTTGTTCACACAGATGGTGGTGTGTATGTGGAATAAACTGCCAGAGGAAGTGGTGGAAGCTGTTATAACATTTAAAAGGCATCTGGATGGGTATATAAATAGGAAGAATTTAGAAGGATATGGGCCAAATGCTGGTAAATGGGGTTCGGTCAGATTGGGATATCTGGCCAGTGTGGATGAGTTGGACTGAAGAGTCTGTTTCTGTGCTGTATAACTCTATGACTACACGACGCTATGACTCAACATATGTCATCATCGCAGACTCAAACCGCAGGAAGTTGTAAAAGCTTGTACATTGGCCCCTTTTAGTTTGTGATTGTTTCAGTTAAAAGAAACAAGCAGCAGCAAAACTTTATATTTTAAACATATTAATTCTTAAATTATCATGCAAAACCATTGCTCAAATTTATTTAAATAAAAATGTCATGAAGTTATTTGCTAAAACACAGATGCAAAGACTGGAAGTAAGGATAAAATGACATTAGTCTGTAGTATGATTGGAAGCCTGGCTTGCTCGAAGATTCTGAATGCATTGGAATCTTGAAGTTAGATTCAACATTTGTGAAAGCACTTGCAGTTAATTAGTTAAAGGTTGCCCCTGCAGTTAAATTGAGCAGAAATGGACAAAAAAAAACAAAGAACTGTGGATGCTGGAAATCTGAAACAAAATCACAAATTGTTGGAAAATCTCAGCAGGTCAGGCAGCATGGCTTTCTCTCCACAGATGCTGCCTGACCTGCTGAGATTTTCCAGCAACTTATGATTTTGTTTTTGAGCAGAACTGATCCTGGGATTAATTGAAAGCTCCTCTGTTTCACTTTTACAGGATTTCCCGGAAGGTGGGGTTTGAGGCTATTGGTAGCTTGGTTCAGTACAGCAGCCCTGGAAAGTTCCCTCTGCTTCCCTGTCGGT